CAGTTGGGGGGGGAGAGGAATTGGAATTTTGTCAAAGGTATTTTCCAGACAATAACAAGACAAGATACTCAGGCACTAAACAGATATGTGCTTGTACTAGGCTACAAAAAAACCACTAAAATTAAACGGAATGTATTGACAATGGGCTCCTTTTATAATTAAAAATTATTCAGAGTGCAAATATTATCCAGAACAAAAGTAAAATAAATCTGTTCATCTTAAGAGCTGATTTCAAAATGTTTCAGTCTTCTCCTTATTAACAATTTTTCTTCATACTTCACACAAAATTTTCCACATATGTTTTAACCATCAGGAAAAAAAGTCATCTTATTCCAAATTTCAAATGCTATGCAGCAGAAAATGCTATCAATACATGTAGCAAGAGACAGTGAACAGAAAATTGATATATTACAATCAGTGCAGCACATTCTTTATTAATGAATACCAATATGTTGCGTAAAATTCTTGAGCCTCTTCTTCACTTCTTTAAAGTATATGAAAAAGCTTTTCCATTATAGAAAGGCCCTGCAGTCAGGCATGGAACAGACCGACTCCTGCATTTCTCTAGAGCCTTTGAAGTCTGTAATGCTCATGAAGTGCAAGTATTTCTGTAGATAGAGTCAGAATGGGGATCTATGGACAGCTCAGGTTGCCTCACAAAAACATATTTGTGCTTTATAAAATTATGTGGCAAAATGTTCTTACATTTTCTTTACATCAAATTCCCTTCAATCATGAGATGCATTCCATTTCCACAATTTAAATACACAGCCCTACATTTATGAAGTTCTGTGAGGTTAGCCTCTGTGCAGTGGTAATGCCCTCATTTCTGGGAGGCCTGCGTGCTGCTTTGTTCAGGTCTAGAACACAAGGCAGCAAAAGTGCCAAATGGCAGCCAGACATAAAAAGACCAGCAACCAAACATAAAAATAGCATCATCCAGGTACAGCCCTGGTAGCTGTGCAAAGCTAACAGCCAAAGATATACACTAAAATCCAAAACGAGGCAAGGAAACAAAGCAAATAAACAAAATGCTTGTGGAACTAATATATTCACTTCTAGATTTACTGAAAGAAACTATTCTTTGCATTTTGGATGGTTGCCATAAAGTTGAAAGACTAACTCCGTAATGTCATTTGTACTTGTACCGCTGAAGAGGTAAATGTGTATGAAATGTATAAGCAAATGTGCATGAAGTGAATATTAGTCCCTCCAGACAGCAGCTATTAAAGTGGATTACAGGGGTGCAGCAGGAAGGGAATTTGACCAAAAAGAGGAAATATGTTGTTTAGCCTTGGGATTTTAACCACTGACATGAGTTATTCAGACCTTACACAAGTAGAAGCTTTGAATACAGGGAACATAATACATGAAGTGAGCTGGGTTACAGACTCTCTTGTTTCCTCCATGCTAAGTTTTGGGGGACTGGGAAACAGGTCAGATGCTTTTAAGTGTCACACAAAGCAGCTAAAGGATTTCCACCTAGCCATGTCTGAGCATCCTACAGGAAAACAGAATTTCAGTAAGATAAATATAATGAAGGGTGTAATTTTGACAGATTGAGTCAATAGAAAAGTTGTATCTGTGACAGGGACAGCTGCCCAGCTGAGACAGCCAGCCCCTCAAATATATCCTACCAGCCTACGGTCCCTTGTCTCTATTTCCCTTGTGAAGCAGCCCACTCCTGATGCTCTGTAAAAACACAACTTAAAATTATGAGCCAGCAACTTCAACTGGTGACAATCTGTCCTAAAATCCATGATTAACTGTTTAAGTGAGCTGCGACTGTGTTACTACCTAGCACAGTCCTCTGCTTGCCTCTGAAGGTCCTTTTGTTCTTCCACTATATTTGTAGCAAGACCACCGCCAAGTTCTGACAGTTTAATAAGTAAGTGCTTCATGCAATCTTTTTGCATTAAGCACCAGAGTAATACAAGGCGAAACCCAAAGACATTACAGTGACCAAGGAAGAACAGGTCCACTTTCAAGCAATTAATTCCATGATCCAGCGTTTCCTGTGTGTGAAGTGCCTCTGAAAAGTCTGAAATCACCAACAGGTGAAATTTCATCTGTACAAGTTTAGACCTTAATGTTTTGGACCTACTAGGTGCAAAACCTACAGAAAATCACCGGCTAAGCAGTAGTGCACCTTGAAATTCACAAAAGAAGAAAGGAGAGAGACTTACTGAAGGCGAGCCATTTGACCAGGAGAAAGGCTATAGATCAAGGTCATTTTCTGTGGTGGCCTCCTTCCCCCCTTCTCATGAAAGCACTTAGAACGAAGAATACCATGACTACCAATCAGTTGATGCTATCCACCAGATCATTAGATAGGACTATTGACCTGCATGTTTTGTTTTGTAAAATCAATAAAAAAACCGGAAAAAATGGCAAGAAAAAGAAAAATAGCAGCATAAAAATCCGAGCTTCTGAGCATAGTATTACTCAGGCTATCTGTGTATTCACACTGAGTGACATAATATACTTCTCACAATTTCATCACAGATAAAAATTTCACTGGATAATAATGTTCTCAAAAAAATGTAGTCCTGACATTTAGGAACTTCAGAGCAGGTATTAAAGCAATACTGAACTTCAAATTACAGGTTCAACTTGCTAAATAGAACTGTTAGACAGAAATATGGATGAATCACACTCCTCCTGGATGTAATGGAAACAGGCATTTGCATGATGGTGATCACTGACTGCAATGAATGTACAGGTATGTACCCCAGCTGAGTGCCCAGCCTTGACATATACCAAGACACAGTAAACACATAAGAAGGCTCATGACTGGAGCCTTTGTGAGCATGGGCCAAGGTCCATGTCCTCAGCTGCAGAGCTGTGGGGATGCATCAGCTGAGAATTTCAGGCTATGTCTTTGGTCTCAGTACAACCCAAACTGGATTATACATCTATATTTCTGGTAAATGACCCTTAATTTCCTAATTCTCTTAACTATAACCATTGTGAATGGTTTCTCTAGTGCTGCTAACTGAGGGCCTTATCCAGAAGCCTTTACTCATGAAGAGATAACAGATCTACTTCTGAGAGAAAGGTGTAAAAATTGACTTCAGATGCTGGTCCAACATCAGACATTAAAGGGTATAATTTATCATTTTTTTACATTATTAAGAATATTTGTGCAGGATCTATAATTAAAACTAAAAGAGATGTCTCCTCCTTTTGCCAGCAGCTGTGTTACATCAATTAAATGGGTAAATAAGATCTTTCCCCAGAGGGGATATCACGTGGCCCTCTATTGATTAAGACTGCAGTAGAACGTTATTTGCAATCTTATTGCATAATGTAAATCAGGAGGTAGCTGTCAAGGTTTCAGAAGACAAATTACCACTATCTTAGACAATTCATAGGCCTTTTTCCTTCTTTCTGCTCTTAATTCAGAGTTAATGCATGTCTTACAAGGCTTAGTTTCTTCAATCAGTCTACAGAACCGTATTCAACTCAAAACTGGGTGTAAGCCACAGTATATGTGGCCCTGCATTATAATGGATATTAAAGTGACCATTCCATCTATCATTACTTCAGAACTATGCATTATTTAATAGGGTAGCACAGCTTCAAAAAAGGATGTGAAATAAGAAATAGATACCTCCTGCAACATGCAGGAAAGACAGGATTTCCTACTAGGCACATCTCTAGAGGCGCTCTCCATACAGAGCATTTTTTAAGTCTTAGCTCAGTTTTGTGTACTTGATTTTCACAAGCAAACATATGGCAGGAACAAGTCCACTACTCTCAAACCTATGCAGTAACTGCAGTTGGGGTCAGTTTTGAGATTGAAATTAACACCTGACCACAATCCAGCAGACACTTTGCTCCTCCACTGAACTGTATATCCATTATTATGCCCTTTGTGGGACAACCAGAGGAAAGGACAAAAATCTCCATTCAAATGACTGAAACACACTTTGCTGATCTGAGAAACCTTCAAACAAAATGCCAATCTGTCTTTGCTACTAATCAATCTCTCAATTACAACAATTAGAAAACAAGTGCAACACATTTCCAAATACATAACATCAGTATTTAACATTACCGTAATCTTCTGCATGAAAGTCAAATAAATGGTCTTTAAGTGGGTTTTGGTGGTTGAAAAGCTGTATGAAATAAGGCAATATTTCTGAATGGATGGAAGGAACAGTGGGTGGCAGGACAGTAATAGATTCAGACAAAAGTTACAGTCATCCTGTATATAGAAAGAAGTGCTCAACTTGCCATGATCTGTTTGCCATTGCATAGGATTAAAAATTAAGTATCTGCTGCCTGATCTCTTCCATCCAAGTTGATTGACTAGACTGTGTTCATCTGCCCATCTAACTTAGCAAACTTAAAAGTGGCAGGTTTACATTTCCATTATTTATAGTGCCTGAGCTTAATAAAGTACACGGAAGGAAATGTCAGTAGAACTGTTGCGTAAAAATCTCTCACACAGTGATAACAAAGTCTGGAAAAAATATCACCTTCTAAAAAATATGGAGGAGGTTAAGATTTCAAGAAAATCAAAGATATTTTGGTACACTTCATTTGTCTAGATGTGCACATCAATAGCACCTGATTATTACAGGCATATCTTCCTATATAAGGAAATTATCTACTCCTCCTACAAATGGATTTGTGTTAAAATCTTATATTTCATTCTCCTGGAAATTTGGGAAATCGATCCAAACCTAGTCTTGATGACCATAAATGCTTAACATAGAGCAAATGAGAGAAGTAAAAAAGTAAGGATTCCAATCACTAAAGAGTTAAAATGTGCTCTGGTTGCTCAGAACTTCAAAAGAAGCATTTAGCACCCTAACATAGGGTCTGCAAGCATTTTCTTCGGGGGCTTTTCCCCCCCTTTGCTTTGAAAGGGTAAACCAGCCACTTCAAATTTCTGAATCTGAGCGAGTCCTTTCCCATCTGAAGGTAACACAACCACATCACTTATTTCATTGTTCTTGAAATTTAAAAGAAAAATAGAAAATTTTCCTTACCTTAAAAAGTCTTAAAATATTTGCAACCATAATGGACACAGAACTTGCTGCAGCACCTATCACACCTGATATTTTGTCTGGCTTAGTGAAAATAGGTGGGTCACCGTTAGCACACTTCACGTCTGAGCCATCTTTTTCTATCAACGCTTGCACAAACGTTAAGGACTGCTCCAACGCGTAAGTGTCCCTGGAACACGTATCAAGGATCCGGACACCCAAGGTGATATTGGCAAGTAGATCAGGGTCTTTATTAATCTGATCAACTGCATACAGCATTGCCTCTAGTCTGTGGATCCCCTTCTCCTTCTTGAGCTCCCCACAAGGCACCCCTCTATCCCCTTTCGCATGAACGGGGAACAGTCCTCCCAAAATGATGTCCCCATCCAGTCGGATGGAGTGGGCATATTCCTGGCCATGAGTTCTTTGCATCAGAGTGAGTATCCAGTAGAATTTGGCTGTTAGCAGGAAGAAACAATGGCAGGAAACCCATCGTTTCCCTTCGTATACCATTTTCTCTGAAGACGTTGTTGCTATCCCGTATCCAGATTTTCTTCTTGCTAAAGGATGAGGCTGACCATTTGAAGCTGCACTTTCTGGAGGCTACCATCAGTGCCCAGAACCATGCGATAGGTAGGTAGAAAAAGGATCTCAGCAGAAGTACATAAAATGTGTTTTACAAAAGAAGTCCACTGATGTCACAGGTTGATCAGCTTTTCTGAGAGATGCGTTTCAATTGCTCTTGATTGGTGAAGAGTAGGGTAGTATGTCTGGTCCTGATGCTAAAAGGAGGTCAGTAGTTTATGTCCTTGTATTTTGCCCTACAGCTGAGGTAATTCTGGAAAAAAAATTAAAAAAATAAAAAAATCCAGTGAGAAATACCATTTAGTTCAGCAGTTTTATACCTGTCACACAGTATATTTACTTTTGAATAGGAGTTACATTGCCTAGGTTTTACTTTCAATATTCTTTAAGCGAGCAATTCTTGGCCTTCAGTGAATTTGAACACCTGGCTGAACTGTACTACAAGCCAGGAAATTGATGATGCCAGCAGAGCAACAGCCGAATCAGGGGAACTAAACTTAGCTTGGTGTTCAGATTCCATACAGTAATTCGTATTTACCTTTGCATTGCATGACATCCAGAAACAGTTTTGATCCATAACACATTGTATTTTCTGTTTTGCTGTATCATTCTGTTCCAGCCCACAGACGTGTAGTAACTACTAACACTCTCACTCATGGAGAGGTCCCATTTATGACAATGGAGTAATCAGGGCTCCTGAATTTAAGTACACTCTTCAGCCACTGCAGTACAAGCATATTCAATTCATTTGGATGTTAAATGGATTATTTCCCCAGTGGAATTCACTTTTGAGGAGGCTAACTATATATCCAAAGATAATTCAAGATAATTTCCAATGCTAAATTATTTTTATGAAAAGGTAACTGATTTCTTAAGCAAAAAGGGCACAACATATTATGTTAGGAAACTAGCTGAACATCCAATATTCCCTTTCTGACATTTTGCTTGAGCTGAGGTCCAAAATTAACAAGGTCTCTATTCTCTGCTTGCATTTGGACCACATTAAGTAGGAACAACGTTGTGCCTACACTGGCATTTGGAGAAGTCCCACTGATTTTAACGAGATCAGGATTTCAGTCTACATATCTAAACACCTGACTGCCTGTTATAAATATCTTCAAATTGCCCACACTTTAACTCTCAAGTGAAGGCATTTATTTATTTCAATATATAACAAAATTACACATGCCTGAATACATTTTTAGGCCTTTGAGGAGAGGAAATAGAGAATTAATTTTGCCTGATAGTAGATAGGCACACTTTGTGCACCTGTATCCGGGTCAGTCTCTCAAGACATCTGTTACACGCTGTGGAGAGCAGTGGAAATTCTAGGGTGCAATTCACCTGACACTTTTCTTGACGAAGGTTTTATTTATTATGAAATTGATCACACTGAAAAGTGCCTACCTCACTGCCTATATAGAAAATCCAGACATCAGGATCATCTGCAGATATGTACTTTGTCCCTAGTGATCTGGCTGGTTCCTACTGATCACACTAGAATACAGTTACAGACAAAACTAGAGGACAGCTACAGGCAACTATACTATTTCCCAAACACATTTTCAATTATTTTCCACAAAAAGATTACATATCATGTGGTAACAAGTATCAAAATGCACTTTGATAGTGTTTTAAATTGATCATTCTAACATTTTTTTGTTACATGTTTCTCCCCAAATTATAATACTAAGGTCACAAAAGTTGAAGTAGAGTTTTTAAATAGTGGCTATTTGAAAACCTGAGAAAAAGATTCACAGTGGAAAGTCTTCACTGTGATTTGGTAACAGAATAACGACTTGAAAATGGAACACATTTAACGGGTGTGAATAAAATCATTTAAATTGAGAGCAGCACACAGGACTTTCAGTGCCTCTTAACATTTAGTTTTGCTTGAAATTTGGCTCAGGGTTCAATCTAAATGAAACAAAGACTCTGTTGTTTTATGTGATAATCCCATCATTCTCCTTTAGCTTCTTTGGGGCACACAGATTGCAAACCTGCCTAGGCTTCAGCCCCATAAACCAAACTCAGACTCAGTCATGAATGGAACAACTTAACTCACGCTATGGTGTGAGTTGATACAGCCCCACAGATGTTTCTTATATGGCCCACACTACAGAGAAAAGATTGTCTGAACTATTAACTAGCCACAGCTATCTGTAGTTTAGATTGCCTGACTAGAAAAACACAGTTAAAGGTTCAAAATAGTAAAGAGCAGAAGTTGTAGCTACACCTAAAATAGCAAGGCCATTTTCTTTATGGTTCCACAATGAACAACCAACTCATTAGTCCATGCATGTATGTATAAAGCAGACAGGGAGCAATTCTCTGAGGGAGTGTAAAAGGTAAGACTACTCTTACTTAACACAGTATGGAGAAAAAGAAAGCACAACTGAAAAGGGGAAAATATTCATGAAGGAAAGAAATGCTGTTACTTCTCCTTCTCAGCTGCAGGTCAATTCCTTACAGCCAAAGAATGCCCAGAAATTAAAGCAAGTGTCAGTCTTCGTGCAAACAAATAGCAATGAATTCAGCTATTGCAATCCAAATTCCAACAACAATGGAGAAGCTACAGTGCGCCCAAAATCCTCAGTCCAATACATTACCTAGAACATACTGAAAATCAAATTAATTGATAATTAGCATTTTTCAACATTATAGTCTACATAAGCATTAATTGCTCTGCCTCAGCTTGGATGGGTTCCTGAAAACATATGTTTCTTTGCTGCAAGTGTCCACGGCTTGTCTATAAAACAGAAATAAAATTTTAAAGTGTTCTTTTTAAAAATTTAAGACCTTTTAGTCTTTTTTTATGTTACCTAAGAAATAAAAGCTTCTATTATAGTGCCTAATTTATTCATGCCACACTGCCTTTTATATATTGATTAATATTACCTTTTACAGAACTTTGCAAGCCTGTGTAGCTAAGCAGAAAGCTTATGATCTAAATTAATTCCACTTTTATCAATGAATTTTAGTGAAAAAGCATGGGCCTCTGGGCTATAAAGACTGAATGAACTTTTCTCATGTGCAGATTTCATTTGAAGTAAAATGCTGTCCTTTTCCAACTGACCATAAAAGTTTGAATTAATGCAAATATATTCTTGATTTACCAGGTTCCCCACTGTAGTAGTTGGTGTTCATTGGAAACATGACTTTAGAGAAGAAATTCATATATTTTTCTATCACACCCCAAGAACCACAAAACGTCTCTTCCAGTCACCTTGGAATACATGCTTCTCTTGGGTGTAATTCATTAAAAATATCTGGCATTATCAGAACATATTGCTATTTTTAAAGTCAGTATTTCAGCACAAACCTCCACTTGTTCTGCTAGAATATATATTTATTTTTAAACCTAAGGAGGCGGGGTACTGCAAGACAGGGGAGATGGAAACTTCTGCATGTAGTGTCTGGTTCTGAAATTACTTCCTCCATAAAATCATTCAGCTTTATCAGGTATTTGGTACTCAGGGTTGGGTACTTTGGTACCGCGGTGCCAGAGTCAGTGCATCACCATGCGCCCGGACCAGTCACTGCTCCAACCACATACTGACTGCACCGAGAGACAGGCTCGTTATGGAACCTCTTTATGTTAATGAAAAGTTCTAAATAATGAGTTGCGAGCGACAGACAAATACTTAAATAAACATAGGAAATGTCTCTATTTTGCTAACAAGGTTCCCGAAAACGCCATCTTCAGCTGACACCGAAGTCTCAGCTAAAAACATACAGAAAGATTCAATAAGTTCACCCGGAAATATTGTTAAAAAAATCTCACAATTACAGAGAGCCGCAGGAGCAGGGAGTACTCTCCTCAGTGTAAGCAGGGTGAGTATTTTACAACTGATATTGCTAGACAGACAGACATGAACCCTTTACTGAGGAACAAAATAAGCTATTTAGTGTGGGGGAGGGAAATGCCTGAGGACAAAATATTTGCAATTTTGTTTGAGGCCAAAAAATTAATTTGTCATTGCATTAGAAGCACGGTTAGAACTGCACTAAAATAAAATAAAACCAATATACTGTGAACTAGAATAGGAGGAGTTCTAGGGGGGAAAATCCATTCACAAAATATCAGATTGTCCAGTCAATGCAAAACTGATCTGGTTGTAGTGAAAGCAAGCAAAATAACCACAACTTCCATTATGAAGTTCTGAGGGGAAAAAAAAACCCAAAACTGATTGTTTTGGTGTTTTACTACTGATATGTTACTTCCAAACTATGAAAGAATTAATTTGCTAGCATTCATTTCAATGTTCATAGAAGTTGCTTCTTTCTCCCGTACAGTGTTCAGCAATGAACAAATAGCTGAATTTCCACACAGAGCAGGCAAAGAGTTGCCACCTGCATACAGTAACCTGACACATATAGAAGATTAATGGGTTTTGCTGACAACAAAAGGGAATTTGGAAAACCTTTGGCCTCGACATCACAACTCCTAACTTGCAGGAGAATTCTTCACTGACGTAAGTAGTCTTATCTACCTCAGCCCTTCTGTAATGGTTTGCTGTGCCCCTGCCACAGAGGTAACCTTTAGACAATGATCAGGACTTCAAGGCGAATCACTCTCAGCATCTCGTTTACGGGAACTATTTCTTCCCTGTGCAGCATGATGTCTGCTCTCAGTCTGATCAGCCCCTTTTCAAACAACCCACAGCACCTGCCTTCACTTCCTACCCTGAAAATACCCATTTACCAAACAAGCTACCCTGTTAAAATCCAGCACAGGTCCTTCTGTCGGGGTGACACAAACAGGAGCTTACAATTTTTGAAAAGGAAACGGCATTGAATATTTTCCTCTGCCCTTGGTTGGACTCAGAGCTGAATGAACCCCATCAATATTAACACCTTTAGAGTTGTTTTCACCCCTGGTCTGGCAAGTGATGATCAAGGAGATTTCCCCAGGCACCCTAGGAGAG